ATATTTAAAGGTAAGGTAATTGTATAAATTGCAAAGTATACAATCAGCTGGTATCACCTTATACTTACAATTTTGACAGCATATTCTCTCAAGTTCCCAGACCCTTGTCAGTAAGTTCATATTTTTGCGGGGTCGACCACAAGACCGCAAAATTTGCCCATCTTTTGTCAATATTTTCATAATTTTACACCATGCAATTACAAAGGAAATGTCATCACTTACTACTTAAACAGTAACTAATATAGATTGCTTTTTTGGATGAATCACTTGTGAACAAATTGAGGACTCGTTTTTATGACCTTTACTTCAGTTTCCGGTCGGCCTATAGCGTAGGCCTAGTCGACTTTTGAGATCAAGATATCGCTGGAATTCTTTCAACGATAAATTTCTAGTTCAGGAGTTGCACCCATTTGAAGTCTTAGATTTGGACATTCATATGGTACTCATTGATCCAAATAAATTTGTGATGAATATGAGAAATCCTGGATCGCATATCACATTCTTTTTTCCCCTTTTTTAATAACTTGGCCTGTAATTGCCTTTGGCTTTGGCTTTGGATGATTTCCAAGGTAGATTATTAGAACTCTGTTGCCATACCATGATTACTCATCACTCATACTTACTGTTTGAATTGCAAAAAGACATAAACACGACGAGGTGTAGAAGGTTCGGAAAGAAAATTTGGCAAAACCGTAGATGGCTGATATTCAGATGAAACCGAAAAGGTTACACAAAAACGCAGCACCACTGCTGCAATGAAGCTGTGAGCGTGATCAGTTTCCAGTAGGACAATCAACAGACGCTTGCTTGTAAGATGGAAATCTCAACCTGCAATAAATGAAAGATAACAAATTCGATGTTTACCTGATGGAAAAATCATATTGTAATAACCACTTTATATTCTAATACTAAATTCTCAAAGAAAGAAACAAATATAAGTGCTTTCTTACCACTCATGCTCAGAGAGGCCAAAGTAATTCTACGCCACACGTAACGAATATGTATAATAAACATGCGTGATATGCGCTTGCGCAATGTGACTACTTCTAGAATATTGTGTCGTGATATCGCATTCACATTGCATAGGGAATGCAATTGTCCACACGATACAACAGTTGCGTCACAAACCATAGTCTTTTTCTGGCAGAGATCCAAAATGTACACGTTTTCGGATGGGTAGAGTTCCACGATCCGACCCTTTTTCTGAAAGCTTGGGCCCCCCGTTGGGCCCATGATTCTGAAAAAGATATTATCTTTTATGATAGGGAAAACAACAAACTGAAATTGCGAGGACCTAACCCTTAGGTTTCGCGTCTCCTGGGCCAGTATAAATAAAATGCTATCCACTCGCACTCATCTCTTTCTCTCTCATCTCTCTCTCTCTCTCTCTCTCTCTCTCTCAGTTCTCTCTCTCTCGAACTCTCACTCACTCTCTTTCTAGTCTCAAGCTCCGCAATCAAAAAGTTGAACCTGGGTGTGGATGGGGAGTGGTGGGGCGGGTACGTTTGGGCGTTTCATATGCGCTACCTATATACCATTTTAGTCCCAACTTAAGTTTACACCTATAGAAAATTGCTAATTATTTAAAAAATCATCTATGAACAGTAAATTGTTATAGATCTACATCGTATTCCAAATCACTTGGTATCATTTTGTGTGTGTATGTGTTCACGCTTCGGATGAACAAGTTAAGAGAGTGCAAAAATCGACTTGCGCCAGATAATCGCTTATTACTTGTTGTGATGTTTGAATAAAATAATTGGGCTTTGGGTATTAATAAGTCTTTGCAGATCCAAATAACATCCCTAACAAAATATTAATCATGCCACACAATCATATCAAATATCAAATATCAAAGAAAATTTTGTGCGCGCGCGTGTGTGTGTGTGTGTGTGTGTTTGTGACTTTGGTTCTGCAAAAACTGATGCATCTCATTTGATACATTCAATTCATTCTCTCACTTTAACTTTTGCACAAGTCGATTTTTGCCCTCTCGCAAACAATGCCTCCTGTTAAAGGCCAAGCGTGATAACGTACCAAACAAAAAAGGTACCAAAACGATTTCAAAACATGTTAACCTTTCGTTTATAGCTGACTTTTAAAATAAATGACAATTTTCTGAGTGTATTTTTTTTTTGTATTACTAATTCAGCTAGGCGGGAAATATTTTAAAATAATGAAGATTGGGTTATATATGGGATGCAAAGGTTTGGGGTGGGTCCTTGCTGACATCTATCGGGGAGGACGTTGAAGGGGATGTAGGCGGGTATGGTGAATGAGATGGTTTAGGGCTTTTCATTGTTTGTTTCTATACCTACCGGGGAGTTTATACCAAGGAGCCATCTCAAGTGAATCGGGAAATTTACCGGGGGGGGGGGGGGGTACTCACATATTCGGACACACGTTGGTGTGCCGCCCGAAAAACACCCGAAAATTGTGGGAAATGGGTCTGTTCGAGAAAAATTACCCCAAATGACCCCTAATAATGGGTAGGGGTTTCGAGGCTTGAGCGGCACACCCCCGTCCAAACCAAATCAGAGTATTCCCCTCCCCCGGGGATGGGGATTTAAAGAGAGTGAAAATTGCGATGCAAATTTAGTATAGCTGACATCAGTTGTACATAGCTGCGGCCGGCAGCGTTAGCCACAAAGCCATACTATATGTCCCGTCTCCCCACTTGCCCATAATAATTATAATCTTTTAATAAGTTTTAGTTTTCTTGTATAATATTCCCTCTTTATACAGCGACATCCTATATATCCCGTTTTTCAGTCTGTATATAACTTTTTAACATGCAAATAATAATGAGCAGGGTTTAACTTGTCATATAAAATGGATCTATAACTTGCCTGACGAGGGAATTCAAATATATAGGATCTTTCACATGCAATCTATTGAAAGCACCCCCGTATATTCAAAGAAAATAGAAGATAAATATCGGACATCCCCAAATTCCCAAAAGGTTGCAATTTGTAAATACACCGATGCTGGTTTGCATTCCCCGAGAAGAATAATAGTGGTAAACAAATTCACGCGAGCTTGGGCACAGAGCTCCATTCAGTAATTCTGACAGGAAATCTCCGAGGATGCCTGTTTCAAGAGTCATAAAATCAAGCCTGGCTACCGAACCACGAATTAATACTGTTTCTTGTCCTAAAATCGTTGGTCTCTATAAGGAGCATTCGTCATTCTCTTCCTTTTTTTCTCTTTTATAAATATAGTTTTTTTGTATGGGGGTTCCGCGGATGGGGGGGGGGGCTTCAGCCCTGAGCCCCTCCCCCCCCCCCCCCCCCCCCCACCACCGACAGTCCGAAACGCCTAGTGGCAATACAGCGCAATTGGTTTACCAGCCTCTACGTGTATCATCTCTTCATTCATCATTGAGTAAACATGATAACACCAACATTTGGTCCGATCGAAGAAGTGGAGCTGTCACACTAAATCCCAAACACGTTCTCGGTCTGAACGTGGTTGTTCTTGTGGGGATTAATAACAAACGACTGGATGGGAAGTCTACCTCAGTGACGTTTTAGCCCTACCGTATGGCCATAATGTGGTACAGATCATAGCGATATCGGTGCACAGAACTCTTAAATACGTATTTAAGAGTTCTGTGTATCGGTGACATCCTAGGGTTAGCTTTCCGCTTGAATGCATAACGCGCGGCAACTCCGATCAGAGCGCGCGGAAATACCTTGATCAATTATGCTGGAGATCCCGCGGATGGGGAGGAATAACAACATTACGTGTGTTATTTTTTAACACAATGAAATAGAAATAGAACCCCCTCCCAGACCCACCCCCTGCTTAATTGGTCGCTCAACTCCCTCGCCGTTAAAGCCTCGTTCTGTCTCTTCATTGTTTTACATATATTTCAACCCATGCCATTTTGTGCCCCTCCCCCCCCCCCCCCCCCGGTAAGAAATTCCTTGATCCGCCACTGATGCCCATACCTCTTGAGCTTCGAGACTCCGCCCCTAGACCCCATTTTGAGAAACGTTCAGCCGAGGGACTGCATGTTAGAGTGGGGGTGATTCGGATTTTTTTTTGTCAGCCCCCCCCCCCCCCAAACGTTTTTTCTCATTACGCCACTGTATATCTTCATCATAAAAATAATGAGAAATTTGTTGGCTCCATAATATGCATGCAGAAATTCAACGATCCCGAACGTTTTGGGTAATCAATGACTGAAAAAGAAATTTGGACATATCGATCTCTACACCGTTTTAAAAATGTGGTACTTTTATTTTTGTGGGGGTGGGTGTGTCTGTTATTTAGGCTACCCCACCCCCCCCCCCCAAGAACAGTTGTCACTACCTGAAAAGATTGTTATTTTATATAGGCCTACAAATTGTCCAAAAGCCACCAATTGCAATAAAAGGAAAAAGAAAACTGTCCAGAAAACCACAGATCGTAAACATTGATTGAGTTATTAACTTTATTATGGGCAAATGTTCAACTGAGCTATAGGCCTATGTGGTCTGCCTTGGCACAGGCAGACATTTTTTGCCAATACAGTATTATATATTTGCAATTTCAGATTTTAAGGTAATGACGGACTCGGGCTATAAACCAAAATTTGGTTTTAAATCATTTGGGCACTGAGCAAGAACACACACAAGTCCCTGAACTAAGAGGAACATCTCTCACAACACAATTCTGCTTTGACAAATTGGACGTGTCTTGCAGACCCATTCAATTTTGTTACCATTGTGTGAGCCATATTTGTATAATCCAGTGCACCAATGCAAAGTAGTAGCCATTGCAGATTCATTGTATGAGCAAAAGAATGAAACTGATTAAATTGTCATTCTTGTAAATATGATGGTATAAAGGATCCTGATTCATATGTTTTACACGTATTTATTTTTATACATGTAAAAAGATGTGTTTTAATTCATGGTAGATTGCTAATAGGTTGGAAATATCTGAAAATCCCTATAAACAAACTTGATACACAACTGTAGTCACACAGTGAAATGAGAGAATTATGCATGAAGTCAAATAATCCATATAAATATATTTTAATGTGATATTCATAACACAAATATCAAACAATCAAACATCTCAGGAAAGGAAGAAAGATAACTTCATAGTGAGTATGAACAACTAGCTAATACAACAGAAAAAAAGTTCTTTGAATTTGTTTTCCTAATTTTTTTATCATTTCAAGACTTCAGTAATATCCCACCATACATCCAGATCTAAAAATGAGGCATTATAGTGTCAAAAAGAACAGGAAGAACCTTAAATCTGTCACAAATAGGTAACCATAAAACTTCATGAATACCAAGAAAGTGTAGTAACAATGAAATGCTGAATGCTGACATGCATTATGAATCAAAGTTTTTGAGATTATCAGAAGATTAAACCTTTAAAGAAGATTTACTCATAATATTAGATATCATCCTCATTGCTGGCGACTAGAGCTTAAATTTGAAACCAGTTTTTATGGAAGAAATATGTTTCTGAAAGCAAATGTGCACAATGGAGATCATGCATGGCGTATGACTGGATCATCTGGATGTTACATAACTAGCTCATGTTAATCATCATGAACAAAATAACTCCTGAAAATCTGTGTCCCAGTTATTCACAAAAACATCTGTACACAAAAACATCAGCTTATACACAAATAGAATAGAACCTAAGAGATTGCTATCAAAGTCTCAAATCGATACATAAAAACCTTATATCACCCAATTTTAAGAGAATTTCCAGACCTAAAGATTAAATCATTTGCAATTGATGACGAAATGAAAAGCTTTGTATTTTAAATGTGGTTCAAAATGACCCCCCAAAATCAAACATTTGGCATAAGTTTGTGAAAATTTCTCAACCAAAGATCAAGAAAAAACTCACTATAATACTGTATGTCATACAAGGACATGGACTATGCCTGCAATTAAGAATGCAACTACCGATTCCTCTGCTAATTTGTAAGTTTATTGCACATCCTTGCTGCTACAATCTGGCATATTGGTTCAAATTGCATCATCCCTATTCAACAAACACCATATTCTTTTCTTACATAAAAAGATTTCAGCGTAAATCTGTTCCTGGTTCTGGAAGAGGAAAATGATGTATAGCTGAGATAAGCAATGCTTCATGAAAGAAATTGGCATAGTCAATGGCTATTCATAGCACCAAAACGAATCACATCTCTAGTAAGAATTACATTTCTACATGTAAATACTCACCTATATATGCTTCTATGCATGGTCAATTCCATCTACACAAGACCTATGTTTCTATATGTAGATAAATGCTTTTTATCTTCTACAGTTTATAACTTCCATTACCACTGGCATCTCCAAAAGAACTACCATATGTTTCTACAAATAAATGTACATTTGAGTTGTTATGGCTCTTGGCTTCTTTGGTTAAATGCATGTGCTTGTTAGCTCCTGAAGTCGTAAAGAGCACTGATGTTATTGATTACCTTCTACACGTCTTAACAGTTACAATAGGGACTTTTCCATTTGCGTGGATGTGGATGTGTGACTTCCTTTTAAGGCACTGGCAGTCACGTGTGACGTCCTTTTAAGGCACTGGGAGTGCCTTAAAAGGATGTCACACGTTGCAGTCCACGTTTTCATCGTGCAAATCAAAAAGTCCCTATTGTTAAAGGCTACAGAACCCTCTCTTTGAGATTGGATATCTACAAGCAAACCTTAAACAATTAGAACAAATCATTAGGAAAACAACCCACAACAAACTTGCATCAAAATGAGCATGAAATAGAAATGCAACAACATGAACAATACACCTTGAGTTGTGCACAGAACACTAACAGTTTCATTAGTTTTGAAATACAAAGTAAACAAGTTCTTTATATCTGAAGTAGGGTATTAAAATCACTTCGTTTTCAAGAGCCCTTCTACATTAACGTTGATATGCATTACACCAAAACATTACTGTCTGAAATGGAAACACATGAAGAGCATCTGTTAAAATATCTAACACATGTACATACACATCATTAATTGTTATTTCACTATCAATAGTCTTCTTTGTTTTAATTTGACACCTCTAGCTGCAAATAATAGTACATATTTACTTCAATACATCAACCTGAACCAACAAATCAGATTTATTTCATTAATATATCTTCACAATAAAAGACAACCTTCACAGATGAGAGTTTGATTTATAGTACTGAACAGGTGTTCTGCAACTACTGCTTTGTAAATTATTTCAGTAGGTTGTCACATTAATGATTACATGATACAGTTGTTTTATCAAACCAGCAATTAATGATTCTGGCAGGACATTCAATGTTGTCCTTTTATTTTCTTTGGTAAGGAACAGGGGATCAATTTTTGCTTACTAGTGCGTAATCTTGAAATCATACTTTGTACATGAAAATCATTTTGCATATCACTAAATCCAAACTTCTGACTCTGCGAAAGATGTAAAAGTCTTAATGTGTTATTTTGTTAAAGAGGATGCATATATATCACACTCTCAGGAGTAATCAACCAGTTTACCAAATCATTATCACATTCCGTTACAGGTACATCAAACCATATCACTACCACTATTAGTTACATTTAACTATTCACAATGCACTGTACATACAAACACCAAACATAATGCTAAAACTGATTAAAGACGCGAAAATTATAAAAAATACTAAAAATTGTAAAAAATATAACTGGAGGTTAAATGAAGTTTTCTTAATGAGATGTATATCTTTGGTTGTGACCTTGTATAAAAGAAAAAATTAACAATTCAAATTTCATGCAAACCATGCAGCAGAAATATGATAATTACTAATCATAAAATCAACCAACATTTTAAAGGGTAAAATAATAAAATGTACCCAAAACAAAGGCACAATACTGAATATACTCAGCATCTGCAACATAATACATGTTTTAAGTTATAAATAACCCGTATTTAAAGCTCTCAATCAATGAATCAAGGTAATCTTTACATGTTTCAAGAAACAATGCTTTAGTCAGTAGCTTTGTAAAATAAAGGTGCATGAAAGACCAAATCTTTTTAACACAGGGACACATCTGGCCAATCACCATTCGTCTTTCCCCTATCTATAATCTTAATAATCTTATGAATCAGAATAGGCATTCATCAGTGTCCAAATAACAATGTTGAGAGCATGCCTGCCTCAATTGGCCAGATCTCGGATAATTGAAAGTTAATTGTTAACACCATTAGACCAGATGCGGGTGTTTATTACAGGTCCAAGGTTTCTATCTGACACAGCATTCTGCTATTAAACTACATGATCTTATTTCATTATGAAATAATTTTTGCTCTTTGTGAACACCAGCACATTGTGGAACATGATGTGAAAACAAACATGTAGATGACAGTATATGAATCAATACATCAATATTAGTTTTAATAACTGTATAAATTGATAAGTAACAATAAACAATTCCCATTACACCTCCACTTTGTCCACCAAGTGGTGTATTCCTTGTAATATATTTCCCTAATTATCAGAAAGATATAACCTTTTGTGCAACCACCTTCCAGACTTTGTGCTGTCAATGTTTCTCTCTGGATGTAAACGTGAATAATCTGTACCCACACCCTCCATACAGTTTACTATGAAGACTTATCTGCTGGCTGCATCCATCCCACATGCCAGTAATATGCATCAATGGCCAGTTTCTCCACACCTCCATAAAACACTGAAGTACCAGTGAAGAATAACCCAACGGCAAGCATATGCCACCAAGCAATGGACGTGTAAACCAACAAACAAACCATGAACAGTATGAATAAGACCCAATAGATCAAAGCAACAAAGAGAGTCCTGTACATCCCGGGAACAATCTTACCATCCAACCCGTCCCCTGTCGAGTTCCCGGAGACAAACTTTTTGTCTCCTGTGTAGTACCCCCTGAGTTCTACCTCCTTCTCTTTCCATCTCTCCACACACCATTCTTCATAGTCTGTATCTTGTGGTAAGGAGCTGATGTCATAGCGCTTCACATGGTAATGGACCTCGTTGGGTAGCTTGGCCTTGAAGATATCTAGCTCTCCACCTACTGGTATCCTGTCAGGATAGGCCACGGTCACATCGTAGATGGCATCCACGGCTTGACCTGTCAAAAGAGAAAAGTGTCTAGAGCATGAAAAGACTTATGAGTAGTACTTATGAGGACTGAGGAAACAACTTATACACCCTTAAAGATGCCCTACTAGACAATACATCTACTCAAAAATATTTTAACTAAAGAAAGGGGGAAAAAAAACTTATACTGAAAATTCCAATGTTGGCACAAGAATTAAATAAAATTAAGTAATCTTCCTATGTAACATGATACATCTCATTTCATAAAATATGGTCAAATTTGGACTGTTCATCTGATGCACAATGATAAGTTTATGGACCATTCTAATTTCAGCAAACTCTACATAGTATTGTTGTATCTTGGATGAAATTATTAGTCCTTTATATAAACGTACATCAAACAAATTAGATTGGAATCTGGTACAAATACCAGTAACTAGAACAGACAGATATGTCATGTTACTGATATTCCTGCACTTGAAAGGATTACAAACAATCCAGTATTTCCTTGATTGATGGCTCTGTATCAATATGTTATTAAGCCATTTTCATCAAGGCAGAACATTTTTGGGGAAAAAGTAGATATGTAAAGCTAACTGCAAACTGCTAAAGCATGATCAAGATTACAACGTCACAAATAAAGTAACTCATCAATCTAGACCTGTAATATTGCATCGATTCTTCTTTATAATTTTTTTTCACTTTTATTTAAAGGTAATACAAAGTTTTGGGAAATTTTGAAAATTGAGTGGATAGTGATTCTTTACAATTTTGATATATTTGGATGCCCCTGTGGATGTGTTATAAGTACTAGAAAATTTAGCTCCTCAAACACTTCTGCTTTCGAGAAAAATTGAATATCAAAATTTACCGGGAGCACTGGTAAATTTTGATAAATTTCAAATAGCACCTTCGACCGAACAATGGTAGCTGCGACCAGGAAAATCTCAGAATATGTAGTTGTGATATATAATTTCCAAACGGAATAGCTTATCGGTCGATTTTAGTCAGGAAACATTGTTTTATAGCTTAATTAATATCTTGACCTTGACAGGGAGCTATACAACATGAAGAGTTAACTATTTACAATTTCATAACTTTAGACTTGATTTCAACCGCGACAGCAATCACTAAATATTGTAGGATCTCATATGCGTCTAATATGTTCATTTGAACCAAATTCATGACCCCATACCAAAACTTTGTATAACCTTTAACTTTGCAATTATTATTACTATTTTTTGGGGGAGGAAGTTAATACTCACGTTTCCTAAGATGATCCATGATGTGTTTGAAGCCTGTTGTTCGGGGATGAAGAACATATTCATACTTTGGTAGATTATTTTTAGTTGCATAGGAGTCACTCTTATCCTTACTGTGATCAGTGTAGTCAGTTCCTGTAAGATTGAATTAAAATATGTATTCCATGAATAATCTTAGTTGCCAACATGACTGGTAGATCTAGAAGGAGTCTACAGTCAATTACAATGCAAGGGCAAACTTTTTAATGAAAAAACAAATCAAACTGGGGAAAATATTCACCTACATGTAAATATGACTCGATCAATTTTATTGGAATCAATAGATTACTTTGAAGTCTACTAATATTAGCTTTCTAATGGGTACCTTAGAACTCTGGTAAATAGTGATGCATAGACTTTCAATTTTGATCAAAAGTTTAAGAAGTTGAATCATAATATAGTATTAATGACTGCTTTGAGAGAAATAGTTGTTTTTATACGCTCAAGGGAAGGTTAGAATTGTGCTATTGCCCGAGGCGTGCCGAGGGCAATAGCCCAATTGTACCTTCCCGAGAGCGTATAAAAACAACTATTTCTCGAATATTAAAGCAGTCATTAATACTTTTATATGCCAAAAAAAAAAGAGTCAACTCATGACACCACCTTGGCCTTTATCTAGTTTATCTGCACGGTTGTTTTTTAAGAGTGTATCTTTGAGAGTAGACTAAAAAATAAAAAATAAAAAATAAAAAACTTTTGTCGAAGATGGGATTCGATCTCTTGCGCACCAAAGATGATGTGACTAAAGTCACCGCCTTAGACCACTCGGCCATCGCGCACTGACACCAATACTAGCAGTTTTCTATAACGTATAGATTAAAATGGATTGAAAACGGCTTCGCGTGCTGGAAACTTCGCGGCAGCTCCATTAAACGGGCCCTTCTTTTACTTTTGCAATGCATTGGCACGAACTTAGATCAAGATCAATCAGCAGATGTTGTTTTTGGAAGTTTATTTTCGTCTTCATGTCAACAATGCAAGATAAAATTGTCGGTAAGATCGATCGAGATTCAATTGTATTGAAATTACCGACTAATTCATCGCACACGTACGGTATCCTCGATCGCTCAGACCATTTTTCAACATGTCAACCTATGGGTATTTCACCAAGACTGAAATATTTTCCCGGTAACCATGGTTACTGGGATTTTAGAACTATTTTTTAGAACTATTACATGGGTTTGGAATTTTACCGGGAATTTCACAGGAATAGTTGAAGTTTATGAATGCAATTTCGACCAATCAAATGGCTGGATTTCTTAAGTGAGGTATATAATTATGACTATTAATTACATTCAAATATACTTAATCACACCTTGTATAATTAAGTATTATTATTCTGGCTTTAGCTGAGCTATAGAGAAGTTAAAAGATTAAAGAATTGTATCATACCAAGCATCCAAGTCACAAGATAATGCATTTTATCTACAGTTGTCTCTCTCTACCTAGGTGTATTGAATGGGTTTGGATGTACCTAGTGGGTACAATGATAGCAGCTGGATGAGCTTCATGTAAAACCATGATTATTCTTTACATATTGGGAAAAAAGAAACTTTTAAATACAAAAAACTTTGGGGATTTCTCATGTGTTTTGTACTCACAAGTTGTCTTCAAGCAAAAACAGCCAACAATAACTAAGATTATTTAGATTTTTCTGGTTATACAGTAAACATGGACATTTTTTGTTATTAACTCTTCCAGAATTTGAGGCAGTGGAAATAAAATATAGGAGAATAAATATCAACCAACCTTCTGGGAAGATGAGGTACTGAACATTGTATTGTATATCACAGAAGTAGTCTAACATCATAGTCATCCAGGCCTTGTCTTGTTCCCAGCGTCTCCTCAAGAAGACATAAGAAGCTATCTGCATCGCCCAGCCTGAATGCAAAGAAACAATTTGACGAAAAGCTGCACATCAACCCTAATCCAAGAAGAGTATCAGTTTCAGAGGAAAATCATGTGTTTTTGTTACCTTTTGCCAATTTACTGAACTTGCGAAGTACCCAAACCAGCAAATACAAGACTTTGCTCTATTTGACTCATTAAAAGATATTCAATTCATCTCCAGCCCCGATGTTTGAAATCCGATTATGAATAGTCAATTTGTACAAATGTCGGATCCCCACGATACAACACGGTCAATAACCTACAACCAAAATTCAATTCTGGACCCTAAACCTAACAAAACCCCTATGTAATGTAAAACCTTGCATAAAACCCACAACAGCAGCCTTAATCTTTACTCTATGGCCCGAATTTACAATGGTGCATCTTATCCCATATTGATTTCACTTTATTGGGTGGTCAATATCACATTTATATTTTGAGGAAATACATCCAAAGTGAATATTGCCCAAACATTTGTGGGGTTACTACCATACCTGGTCCAGGTACAAATTTGAGTTCATTCTTGAGGATGATTTTCTCTGATCGTACAGAGCTGAGAGAGAAGAGAGGAATCCAGAAGAACATCCAATCCAGTCTCGTCCGATGATTCATGATGATGACGCTCGTCTCAGACTTATTCAGTTTGTCACCACTCACTCTGCATTTCACTCCAAAAATATTTCTGAGGAGAAAAAGGTCAAAATTATGCTCTCCATTTTTATTGAAAATAACAGATTCTATCAAATATAAAAGTAAAACTGTTCAAATATTTGTTGGCAAAACCACTGACATGGCAAATTTCAAAAATTATTTGTCCAGTTAGACAAAAGACAAAGAAGAAAGAAATACATCAGTTTACACTGCATTGTGTGTGTTAGAATCATAATCAGCGAGTAAGAAGTAAGCAAGAATTTGTTGCAGTCCTGCCATAATACAGTATATTTGAAATTGACATTATTTCAAAATTATCTGACATAACAGGCTACAACATAAAAAATCTTGTCTTGATTTTGCACAGGACTAATGAATCATCTTCGTACATAATTTGTGTACTCAGTGAAGGAATTATAATCAAATCTCCTTTAACTGTAAAGGACTACGCTCTGCCTAACTACTGTGCCTGAATTGTGTACCGGTATGCATCAGTATTATACCTTTTTCTAACTGGCCTGTTAGATGCATCTGATGAAACAGCCAGTATGAAAGCAACAGAGGAGAAAAAGGCAATTAAATAGCTGATGAAAAGAAGAGAAATAGGCGATTAAATTCTCCTGCTCAAGAGCAGGAGGAAATCTCATTCTATCGGTGTGACACCGATGAAACGGCCAGTATGAAAGCGTTCGGGAGAAAAAGGCGATTAAAACAGTGATTAAAATGGTCAAAGGTCGCAGTGTATGCGCGCTTTATCGTAACTAGCTGTGTTTGTTGACTTATGGGTGAACATGCTACATGCCAGCTAGATGAAGCGCGGGCTTAATAATTACGCAATAATTCTTCACTACCGGCACGGGCTCGCCACAGCGAGTAAATTTCACCGGCAGTATGAAAGCAACAGGGAGAAAACGGCGGTTTCACCTTTGTTTTTAATACATAAGGAAAATTCAATCAGTATTTTCATCGGTGTGACTCCGATAGAAGCCAGTTTGAAAGCAGTATTAGCCTCATTCGTTAACAAAATCTGCTGCTTTATCAGCATACAGTCTATTTGTATCTGGGATATTCAAAGGATGCAGTGCACATGAATAGTAGTGAAGTGACATTGAATCTTCTTCAAATTATTACAGATTACATGATATAATTGGAACTATATTTCTTCTCATCACACATATAATATACTTGATCTGTGGAAACTACATGAATGGATGTAATAATTACACAAATTGATCCTTTTCCTGACTGGATCTAGGTCTTTATTTAGGAGAAAATGTACTGAGCCTATATTCCACTCATTCCGTAAGTCATGTCTACATTCAAAAGATAAAATAAAAGATCATTCAAAGAAAACTCACCTAACAGTAGCTGTAGTTTTCCATAAAGTCATGAGCATGAAACAAAAACAAAAAAAGTTCTGAGTGTGAATACATGTATACATACCGGTACATATTTGCCAGAAGTTAGAATTTGTTACAAAATACTGGAGACATCTTTCAGTTTTATGATATACAGGCACTGGAGGTATTTCAATTTTTCTTATACCTAATAGGTATACATGTACCGGTAGATAACAGATTAATGAATACTATGACTCTGCACTAATTTTTTTTCTCTCTCTCTCTTTCCCTCTCCCCCAAGAAATAAGTACTTAAGTTTGTATACAGACATACGGTAGTAGCAACTTGCAATCTAAAATTTTAGTAAATTGGTTTACAGCTCATAAGTGACAATCAAATAAATATTATATACCCTCATCACTAAGAAAAAATAATGGCAACAACAACCTTGATTCCTAGAATTGATATCTTACAAACATAACCCACCATTCTCAAAAATAAAAAAATATACAACTACTTTAAAACATACATATTTCTAAGTACTGTAGCAAATTTTTTTGTTTTGTTATGTGATCATTAACTAATACTGTTACAAAGGTACTATTAGAGTGAGAAGGGAAGTTTCCTATTTCTATTACCCAAAAAAGTGTTTTTCTCAATGTGTGGACATTTTTTATGCTTTAGAGGCATGAATTGTATTTACTGTGACCGTGCAGGTTTTGGATGTAAATCGGTAATGTATGGAAGATAGTGATGAAGGACTTGCCCAGTTAATGAGCGCACTTACCACAGGTAATGTTAACCACAAGGCCATGAGATTATCATTGATGTACCTGAATGCAAGAGGCCTGATGAACATGAGAGGTATTAAAGGTCCCATCATCAACATGGAACCAAAGAAAGCCGTAAACCACAGGAGGGTCATGAAGATAAAGCCTCCAAAGCGATTATTCAAGATTCCACCCATGGTGATAATCAAACACGCTCTGTACTATGGCAACCTGTGAAATGAAAAGACAAGGCAGGAGACACGTCATTAACAAAAATGTAAATGTACACTGGGTTTGCCATTTGGTAAGATTGTATTTGAAACTATTACTGCGCATCAAGGAAGATGACGTCATCTGTTCACAGTGACAATTTAAAATACAGCTGCAAGAATTTCAACACGGAGTTCAAAATCGACAAAGGAAATCTGGAAAAGAGACCCTTAAACACATCATACAGTCAATCTGGTAAGTGGAAGCGATGTATATTAGCCTAGGCCTAATTTTCGAGAATAAATGCATCGGATATGTATCCGTTAATATTACAATTTAGTCTAAAGTTTGGTGGCTAGTTTGGTGACTCAATCGAGCCACTACAGTTTGCACAGCAGACTCTATGGTCGGCTTCTGTCTCTATTAAAAGAGAGTCAGCTGACCCTACCCAAATAAAAGGCTAACGAACGAAAGAGACAGAAATTTTCGGTCTTAAATCAGTAGGAGGGATAGTCCGGGAATAAGGATCGTCTGCATAACGAGGATCGTCTTCGTAAACGCAGACAGACGTGTCCGCAAAAATAAGAATTGTCTGCATTTTCACAGACGTTTTATATTTCCGATCCGCACGTTGGCTTGAAACCGAATGACGAATTCTGCAATGATTTTCTAGATGTATTTCAGATTGACTTTGTACAGCGACTTTCATGTTATGAGCCATAAATCCTCGGGAAGATGGACAACCCATAAAAATGGACGGTGAACTGGGGTTACTTTATTACGCGGAATCCGTTATTTGCTGCCAGCGCGCGGTTCGGGAACCCTAAAACCCAACAGAGCGCCAATGAAAAAGTCTCACACATAGTATCTTATTCTCAGCACTAGACACCAGTGTCGTGCAGTAATGTATGAGAAGTGTAAAAAAAGACATTTCAGTAAAAAAAAAAAGTCTACGTGAGCAGTCTAGATCTATACTCCAATTGAGAAGTGTAATGAATGCCATGATTTGAACGTGTGTGTTTTAGTGTATGATATGGTTAGTGAGAGAGAGAGGGAGAGAAATATCTCCGTCAGTACACGTCTATCAATGCGTGCAGTCCTATTGACTATGTTTGATTCCGTATTGTGTTCGCTGCAAGTTGGATTTATCGATCGTTGATAATGCAGTGTCAGATTGATCTTTACTCATGAGGAAATAGTAATTGGAATACATCTCAAAACTAAGGTAGATCTAGGCCTATTTATTTATTTCAATCACTTTCTTAATTTACAATGAGTGGCTTTCGAGCTTTCTCTCTATTATGTTTTGACCCTCCATGCCATGGCTAGCATGGCTCGATCGCGGCTTGCATGCAATTACCGTAACTGGCCTGCAGTACTGTGTCGGTGTGTGCGACTAATTCAAGGCTAGCCGGTGATGATGAATGTACTTTCGCGCGAAGTTTTGAACTTGTTGTCCGGGCAATGACCATGATGACACGCCTATTCCCTCGGGCCTGTCTAATTCTCAACGTAATTTTTGGGACCATGAAATTGATTGTTTCAAGGCTCTAGTCTGAAGTAGACTAGGTCTAGTCAACGGCCAGGTGTAGACTCTAGAAGGAAAGGCATAGAAAAGAGCTGGATATCTCCCATTTTATGGAAATTCTGGAGTCGGCAGATGGGCGAGTTGTCTTAGTGAAAGAAAATGCTTTCTTTTAATCTTTGTTTTATTTTAAACAAATTCGTAATTAAAAAGTTAGATTTGGGCATTGGCCTCCCTACCAATAAACCACACACACACAACAATACACATAGGTCTAGACATGATAGATCTAGGCCTAGTCACACGAATAGTAGCATATGGGATTACGAGTTGCAAGTTTGGACATAGTCTAATGAATTTATGTTCGTGACATTGACAGAGAAATTAAGTGTGATTTGATCCTAAAATCAATTTCGAAATTATTGTGGCTAAAAGAGGACGACCGTTTGACGTACTTACCCGATTTTTTAAAAGTGAAACAAAGCAGATATGACTATGTCTTTCAAACTCTCAAAGGACTGCTATTCGCATTATCAGGATCACCATGGCATGACGGACGATGACCACCTTCCGCCTTCAGATCAGCTAGCTGCATTAATTGCCGGTACGTGTGACCGCGTAGAATGTAACCCGCACCGATCGTCCGACTATTAGAGATCGATCGAGAGCGGACGATCGGTGCGGATTTTATCCGCGCAGAATGTCCGTGTCGGACATTCCGTGCGCGCCTCAAATGTCTGAAGAGGTCTCGCACCAATAGTCCGCCTGCGGTGCCGCACCGAATGTCCGTACTCTAGTCCACACGTACATACATAGTCAAAACAAACAGTATAATTATACTTAATGAATGAAACGACTGGATAACCCATATTCAGCTTAACCAGCTAGCTAGGGATGAAACTGCAGGCAGTGGCGGATCTAGTATAGGGGATGGGGGGGGGGGGGGGGGGGGTGGGGGGGGGGGGGGTTGGTGCAAATTGTTAACATTTCGAGGGCCAAACAAAAAAGGTGCTCACTACCCCCCAAGATCGCGGAGAGCCCGAGCCCCTCACAAAATATCGGGGGGCTCCGTGATGTTATCCGAGCCCCACAAAAAACAATTCGGTGATATCTGAGCCCCACCAACATATGGGGGGGGGGGGGGGGGCTCAAAGATATCTGAGCCCCACCAAAATATGGGGGGGGGGCGCTCAATGATATTAGAGTCCCGCCAAAATATTTGGGGGTTTCAATGATATCCGAGATCCACCAAATATATTTTTGGGGGTCAATGATATGCGAGATCTGATGTCTGAGCCCCCCCCCCCCCCCTCCTCCCCAAATAAATATTTATAAAATGTTTATATTTGAATGGTAAGCCTGTAGATTATAGGTATACATGAGTTTCATGCCTCCAGGGGGCAGAGCCCCCGGAAGCTCAGGGGTATGGGCATTTAATTACGGTCACATGAGCATACTTTCTTTTCTATTTCTTTCTATTTAATTATCTTTAATATACTTTTTCAAAAGTGTGGGGGGGGGGGGGGGCTTGAGCCCCCAAGCCCGCCGTTCCACAGGACCTGACAAGTATTGTTTCCCTGATCCGTATATAGGACAAGGCCCTGGGGCAGCTAGCCATAATCCGATATTTGGGTCGTTTTCTATCATTCCAGGATTTTGTTTCAGAACCTGAGACAAAGTTACCCAATCCCTTTAAAGGCACACTGCCATACTTGTAGCTACTTGCTCCCTCTATATAGAAAACTTCCCCAATCGGTGCCTGTTGGTCCCCCATCATCCTCTTTTTCTTATGTTAAATGAGATAGCCACCTGTCACAGTGACCTCGATGGCTCTCTGTGTGGTCTAATATCTTCTGGCCCAGTAGTGGTGACGGTCTTTAAGTTTCAAAAAGTAGACTTCATTGACCTGTACACTGCAAAAACCAGAGTGTTAAAATTAACACCAAGGGTGTTCAATTTAACACTTTCTTGGTATCTATATCGGACAACTCCTCTGGTGTTACTTAAGACCATTTTCTGGAATTAGATAATTTCAAATCCATTTTTGGTGTTAATATTTGACAACTCCTACTGGTGTAGATTAACACCAATATCTGGAATCATAACAAATTAAATTCCATTTTTGGTTTTTTTTAAGGGTTTCTAATGGTCCCACATTCCATATTTCCTATTATCTATACCATTATCGACTAGGGTAGAAGAACCAGTGGTAAACTGATAATTCACAATCGATCTTGGAAACTGTCCACCGATAGGTATATTCTAATCTCCATTGCATTAACTTCATCACATAGATCATTTGAAGTATATTTAAGATAAACATTTAAGTGATACAGGCTGATACACGAATATATAATAAACATGCATGTCGTTTCTTGGTTAGTAATCATAATATAATCAATATATCTATTGCTAAAACGTTAATGTAATTGTAACAAGATCGGACAAATAATCTATTGGTCAATAATTGCCAAAGGAAAATACAAATCCCAAAATTGATGTGCATTGTCATAATTTGCTTAACAAATCATGAAAAATATATTTTTCTGAGAACACGTGTAAAGTAATCATTAATCGCGCGTACACTTTGTGAAAACTTATTCGACCAATCAACCGCCTTAAAGGAAATCACGTGATGATACTTTCAACACCGAGCATAAAACTACACCATGTTATTTAACACCCAGTAATTATTAATGCATGCTTAAATCTGACCGGTGTTAAAAAATAACACCACTGAGACTATAATCAACACTAATGGTGTCAAACAAATTCAATACCGTACTGGTGTAAGAATTTCTACACCCTGGTTTTTACAGTGTACAAAGGCTTAGGAACCGGGGGGGGGGGGCTCAGATATCATTGAGCCCCGCAAATTTTTTTGCGGGGCTTATAGATATAATTAAGCCGCCCCAATTTTTCGGTGGGGCTTAGATATCATTGAGTCCTTAGGGGCTAAGATACCATTGAGCCCCCAATATTTAAGTGGTGCTCAGATATCATTGAGCCGCCCCCGATACTTATTGCGGGGCTCGGATATCATTAACCCCCCCCCCCCTCCTCCCCAATCATTATATTCTAGGCATGAAACTCATGTATACCTATAATCTACAGGCTTACCATTCAAATATAAACATTTTATAAATATTTATTTGGGGAGGAGGGGGGGGGGGCTCAGACATCCGATCTCGCATATCATTGACCCCAAAAAATATATTTGGTGGATCTCAGATATCATTGAAACCCCCAAATATTTTGGCGGGACTCTGATATCATTGAGCGCCCCCCCCCCCATATTTTGGTGGGGCTCAGATATCTTTGAGCCCACCCCCCCTCCCCCATATGTTGGTGGGGCTCAGATATTACCGAATTGTTTTTTGTGGGGCTCGGATAACATCACGGAGCCCCCCGATATTTGTGTGGGGCTCGGATAACATCACGGAGCCCCCCGATATTTTGTGAGAGGCTCGGATATCATTGAGCCCCCCCCCCCCTATATTTTGGCCGGGCTGGGTTATCATTATCATTATAGATTGGTGCACATCATTATGCTCGATCATCCTCTCCTATCTGTTTGTTTTCATTTCTCTTTTAGTCATCCTTTATTTGCTACCTATGATATTTGATAAATACTATGCAAAATAAACCCTGGAGGTTTCAAGTTGTAAAGTCCAGGGCAGTTCAACACACGCAATCATGAAATAAGGATGTCTTCATCGAAGTGTCTCTGTAGGTTTAGAACCACGCCCTGTGCCTACCCGCTCAGGCCACTCTACATTCAGGGGCGTCGCTAAAGTGAGGGGGGTGCGGGGTTGAAGTCGGTGGGATTTTTGTTATGTCGGTCGGCCAGCAATTTTTCCCCTTCGAACTGTGACTTTTTATCGGACAAAGAAACATTTTTGAAAATTCAGACCATGATTTAGAGTCGGTACAATGAATCGTCTTCTTTTTCTAATAATTTAATGAAACGTTGAAGCTCCCGCACTTCGCACGAGAGGGGGAGAAACTGAATTCAGACAATTAGGGTTAAGAGTAGTGAACGGTACACAACAAATCGTCTTCTTTCTATAATAACTTAATGAAACGTCTAAGCTTCCGCGCTGCGCGTGGGATGGGGAAACTGAATTCAGACAAGGATTAAGAGTCGAGAACGGTACAACAAATCGTCTTCTTTTCATAATAATTTAATGAAACGTCTTAGTTACCGCGTTTCGCGCGGGAGGCCTTTCACCACCCATCCCCTCCCCCACGCGCGCTCTTTAAGTGATTCGCTTGCTCAATACCGCCCCTCCCTAAAATAAGATCCTAGCCACGCACCTGCGTTTAAATATATAGCTATGATGCTAACTAAGTTGACGAAATAATTTGTATATTTATGTCGTCGACGAAAATGACCATTTGCGCATAACAATTTAGCCTTCGCATGATCATTTTTGCGCTTCTTGCTGCCAGCAAGATAGTTTCCTTCTGCATTTAATTTTGTTGCTGTTATGAGTTTATATTCATATTTTTGTTATCAAACAGGAATAAATAAATGAATATATAAATACATTTGTACAATGATAGTTGTGCAATGATGATAGAAGAACCAATGAAAATCGCAACAGATCTTCCCTAATTCTTTTCCCCCTTTTCTTTTCTTCCTCTTTGTTTTCTGTCCCTTTCTCTCCTCTTTCCCTTTCTCTCTCTCTCTCTCTCTCTCTCTTTGCTGAGAGGGTGGGGGGGGGGGGGGGGGGGGGGGGGGAGGGGTACAAATCGGGAAAAATTGCAACTGATCTCCCTTACCTTTCTTCTTCCTCTTTTTTTCCCCAGGGCCATGCATTATGGTTCAAGGCATGGCCACACAGAGGAATTTTTCCTGTAGGGGGCCGGGGGAAAATGCAATGAATTTTTGACAATTTATTGCATTTTCTTCGTTTTGGGGGATTTGTGAAAGGGGCCGCGTACCCTAGCAAACACTGCGTACAGTCATGATTCAGGGGCTAAGCAATAGCCTCGTTACTGTGAGGCCCCAGGATAAAAATCGTGCTGATCAGCTATATTAGTGCCCTTTTGTGAGGCATTAATCCTCATTACTGTCAATTATGATTTAAGGACGTAGGTTCCCTAGCTGATTAGCATAGTAGCACACATATGATATAGCAGTCACGCAAAACAAACACTCGCAATTTAATATTCAATAAAATCTGAGAATGTATGCCATTATTTAGATCTATTAGAAATAAATAATTTTTAAAAATCCTTCCCTAAACTGGGGTAAAAATAAATATTCCACCATTATGACCAACAGTGTACTTGTATTGACTATGTATACGTGTGGACTAGAGTACGGACATTCGGTGCGGCAGGCGGACTATTGGTGCGAGACTTCTTCCGCACAGATTGTCCGTCAGACATTTGAGACGCGCACGGTAAGTATGATTTTTGTATACATATCAAAGTAATATTTAGCATATTTAAGCTCAGTGTGTGTAATATCGAGGATGGGAAGTGCGAGAATGTCTCGTGATTCAGCTTTGATGGCAGCCAATAATTTTTTTTTAATCATTCTATCTGGTTATCTTTAAAAAT